TTAACTGACATTGATTGCAGGACCTGACATACGCAGTTACTATTTTGTATAATTGCGGGAAATATACCGCCTCGCGTACCCTTTTTAAAGTCTTTCTGACCCCTAAATGACCCGCTGTTTTCGCGTCGTGTAATTCCTTCAAAATGCTTAATCGAAGCGAGGCTGGGATGACTGGTTTGTATTCGAAATTTTCGTTTGTTGTTTTCGTATAAAATAATAAATTATCTATTATTTCATAGTTTTTCTGCTCTATTTCTTATTGCATCGATATCTGTGTGTTCAAAGCTTTCGGGGTCTTTCAAATACGCATAGATACTTCCAAATTCAGGATCAGCTTTCAATTCAGCAATAATTGTTTCTCTAGAATCTAAAATTTTTGAAGTCAACACAGCGCATTTGAGTTCATTGCCTTCATCGTCCAGTTTTATACGAGAAAGTGCGTCAGCTACATTGTTTTCCTTACCCGGTTTATATTTAATTATGAGATTATATTCTTGAAGTTTTAAAGCCCATCTTATTAACCTGGGCGTTAGGTTTTTCCCCGAGTAAAGTCTACCAACAGCCGCATGATCCGAAAAGACTGTTACTGGCGCTTTGCCGAAATAAACTCGAAATTTGTGTACAGCCATTAATACGGCTAATGTTTCTCTCTCTGTAGCTGTATAATTCCTTTGTGTAGATTCAAAGTTTTACTAAAAATGCCAAAGGATGGCCATTTTGCATGAGAACCGCACCACAGCATAGTCCGACGCATCTGCTGCAATTTCCAGGTTTTCGTCCCCCTTCCGGGAATTTCAAAACAGGGGCATTGATAAGCGCTTCTTTTAACCTTTCAAATGCGGTATTTGCTTCTGCTGTCCACGTAAATTTACTTTTCTTTCTTTTAATTACTAACAAGGGTTCAACAATATTTCGCAAAATCTTTTATGAACGACCGATAATAAGAACATAACCCAAGGAAAGAAGAAAGTTTCTTGGCGGTGTTGGGAGGTGGGAAATTCTTGATTGCTTTTATTTTTGAATCCTGAGTTTCTATACCCTTTTGCGAAATTTTATAACCCAGATATTTAAGTTCTTTAGTTGCGAACTTGCATTTTGAGGCGTTAATTGTAAGACCGGCCTCTTTTAATAATTTAAAAACCTCTTCTAGATCTTTAATATGTTGTTCCAACGTACTACTACTCGTTATAATTATATCATCTAGATAGATTAAAGTCGATTTTCCTAGGACAGGCTTTAGAACAATGTCCATAGCTCTCTGGAATGTTGACGGGGCCCCACACAACCCAAAGGGCATGCGTAAAAATGCATAAGTGCCCGATTTTGTTATAAACGCGGTTTTATGTATGTCTTCGGGTCTCATAGCTATTTGATAGTAGCCAGACGTTAAGTCCAAAGTAGTCATGTATCTGTAGATTTAATCTTTCTAATAATTTCCTCTATAACCGGCAAAGGGTAAACTGGGAATTTAGTAACACTATTAAGTTTTCTGTAATCGATAGCAAACCTCCAAGCCCTTTTATCCGAAGGAGGGAAACTCGTTCTTTTTCCTACATAGTACGACTGGACTCGCGTACTCACTATTTATGGGCGTTATTATTTTGGTTCTTTAACATTTCCTGAATATGTTCTTCGATGATTGTCTTTTCTGTTTATCATAGCGGTAAGGTTTAGTCCTACAGGGTTTGTCGGCAGTTAACTGTATATCATGCGTAACTATTTGACAATTACCAGGCCGTTCTGAAAACAAGTTTGAAAAAGTACTCACCTGGATGGCTTGCTTTCATGGTCATTCAAATGGCTAAGGTCCACTTGCGGTTGTTTCCACTGGTTCCACCACCCTCCGATCCATCTCCAGCATAATAGAATTTTCCTGAAAATTCAGTTTGGCCTTCGCGGCCTTTAAAAACTCCATACCTAAAATAAGTGGACTTTGCAAATTTTTTTACCACAAAAATTAATACTTTGAGGCTTTCATCTTTTACCTGTATTTTTAATGATAATTTCCCAATACATTGACAAGTTTGTCCTTGCGCTGCTATGATTTCTGTGTTTTTATTTTTAAATAATCGTAACCTATTAAAATTCTTCTTAAAAAAATATCACTCATAAAATTACCTTCTGCCCCTGTATCGATGAGGGCTTCTACTGGTACATCGCCAACCAGGACTTGTATAATTGGTAATTGTGAGTTCTTTACGATGACCGTATTTAAGTATCTTCTTGAGGGTTTTTTCGAAACTTCCGGGGTCTGGACCCTCGCTTTTACAGGCCCCTCTACTCGTTTAAAGCTTTCCTTTCAACTTCTGTCTTCTGGGTACGCGGACGGTTGTTTTCAAACTTCCTTTTTTGGGCCTTGACCTTCGAGCTTCGATGAGTTAGCTTGATAGATCTTTCCCCCATAAGAGCGATTTGTGTTTCTGGTCTGTTGATTTCAGGATTTTGGCTTTCGGAGACCTTGAGAATACGATGCCCCTCTAGCTTTTTCCGCTATTCTGCGATTTTGGAACTTGACCGCCAACTCGAAGAGTTCCTGCAATGTGCTTGGGTTTCTAATTTCGAAGTAATCTTGAACAGCAGGTAGCAATCTTGGTAAGATTATTTCAATAATCTCCGCGTCGGGTTTCTTCCCATACAGCATATCCGTCAGCTTAATTTTTCGCAGAATAAAGTCCGTCAAACTCTTCTATATTCCGTTGATAAAAACTATATAGTTCGGCTTCTAGCCTTTGCTCGATCTTTCACTATGGGGAAGGCCTTTAATAACGATTTTTTGAAATTTTCAAATGTATATGTTTGGCCTCCGAATTCCCCTAATAAAAATTTGCCTATATTCTTCCACCATAGCGAGGCCTGTCCTCTTAGTGCAGATGTGGCGATGGCAACTTTTTGTCTTTCAGGCACAGGGTAGAGCTGGAAAGTGATTTTCGAGGCCTTCTAAGAATATCGCCACCGAATTTTTTCCGTCGAAATTGACGTTTGGCTTGATTGATGCTCTCATCGTCTGGACCAGGTATCCAAATCCTTCTAATTGGCTTCGCCATTTCTTGTTGTTGGACTTGTACAGGAGCTTCCATCCAGTTTTCGGCCATTTCAGTTCGAAAAGTGTTCGGGCGCCAATGTAATGTTGCGTGGCCCCAACTTGTCACGCAACAGTAGTAGTGACTGCTATGAACTGGAAATTACACAAACTCTTAAGAAGGGTTTAATCCCTTTTATTTCAACTTTAGAAATTACAGATGCGTTCACTTGACGCTCACAAACTACGCCGACCCGGCGGTGTAAAAAATAAAAAGTAACAACTAAAAATAAAATAAAACAGGATGAATAACTAACGAAGTCACTATCTACGAGGCTCTATAAACGTAACTAACCTTAACCGCGTTCTAAGATACAGCTGAGATTCAGCAAACTTTCTGAATTAAGAACGTTGAAAGATTCAACTAACTGCCGAAGCAAGGCACACAGGCCGAAACGCGCGGTTCTTCAATTTCTACCTAGCCAACCTTCACGCTCGTGAAGCAAGAAAGCACACTTACAAACTCGTTTCCCTTCTATTTAAACTCAATTACTTCCTGCTGAAAATTTGAATACTCTGCGCGTTCTACTAAAATTTACATACTCTGGCATTGGCAATTCCAGGGGAAAGTAAGGCTTGACAGGAAAGATAGTTTAAACTTAAATGTTAGTTAAAATAAATATAAACCCTACAAATTAAAGGTAACACACAAGACGTTAAAAAAGTTCCTTTGGACGTAATTTAAAATCTGAAACCTTTCAGATATTTTTTTTAATTTTTTTTATTTTAAAGTGGCAATCACGTATAAAAGTTTTGGAAGAAAATTATCTCCGTAACACTCGTAATAAATTTTTAGTGTTAAGTATTTTTACGTCGTATTTTTGGTAGTGTTGGTAGTTCTGGTGTCAAGTATTTTTATAGTGTATTTTTTGTAGTGCTGTTAGTTTTTGGTTGGGTATTTTTTCACTGTGTTTCGTAGTACTAGTAACCAAAGTATCACCTTTAGTAATAAACAAAAGTGATGTAATCTTTGACAAAAGTGAGTTAAATTTTTATTATCTTTCAACTTTTTGAGCATTCGAGGATTTTATTATTAGCTCTATGCATAAAGGTGCTTTTAGGGAATCTCAGAACGGCAGTTAAAAGAAATCAGTCCAGAGAGTGAGCGTTTTGGTTGTGTTAATTCCACCGATCCCACACCTTTTCGATTCTTTCTTCTTTCTTCCATCTTTACGCATCGGGTTTGAGATACTCCCGCTCCGAGTGTATTCATCAAGGTCATTGTTAGTAAGCGATGAATCGTAAAAAAGAACTGATTTTCTTTAATGAGAGGACGTTTCCGATCTGATACCTTAAAGGAGTGGTTTTGCCCATCTCTAGTAAGGAGAGAGAAAATACCTTAAAATCTTAGGTGATAAATTACCGGTACCAAAGAAATAGAAGTTCGACATGAAATAGCGTTAGACAGACATACTTGCAAGAATAGTTCGAATCATATTATAAGAAATGCTGTTATAATGACAAATATAATTTGATTATCCATTATAGCTCTGTACAAAACAATTAATGTAAAGCTAACGTTAGTTAGTAAATATTAACCTCCAGCGCATTTCGTGGCTGAAAAAAAAATTATCAAAAGAATTTATCAATTCGTATGGTAATAGTGACTGTTCTTTTCGAGAACATTACTTTTTGAAATTTAATCCACATGTAAGTGATAATATCGTCCTTTAGAAATAAAAAGTGCTTTTTTGTTTGTTTGTTTGTTTACAATTAAATAGAATCGGTTAAAGAGAAAGCAACTTGTAGATACTTTTGCCATTTTATTTTAATATTTTTTTAAGAAAACGTATATTACATTTAATTTATAATGTTTTGAATCGTACTTTGACCAATATGTATGCGTTACTGGTATGTGCACATGGTTTATCGTCATGAAATTTTTATATATTGTTGATTTATTTTTCAATTCCTTTAACAGAGACTCGGTGAAGATTTGGAGATTCTAAAACCAAAGACTGCTCTTAATGAATCTAAAACTCCGGTAGTATTTCAGGTGAGAAAATTTCCTTTTACGTTTATTTGAACATTTTATGTCTCATAGGTAATTAAAAGCGGAGAATCTGAAATTTTTTATAAAGGTTCTGAAAAATTTTAATTTTTGCCAAATATAATTAAAAATATTTATGTTAATATTTAGGAAAACTAATGGGCATAAAGTTGCTGAACTCGTTTAGGGAATTTTGCCGGTGGAAATACAGGGTGTTTATAAAGTCCCACACCCATTTTGATGTTTAATAACTCATAAAATAATAAAGATAGATTAAAATTAATAACATAAATGGTTAGATAGACTCAAAAAAGACCCTTGTCAATGAACTTCCACATGTGCCCCCTTCGTCGCACGGAGAATATCAAGTCGATATTCAATTTCGCGCCAGGTACCAGCAAGCATGTCGGCATCCACAGAGGGTATTGCGGTTGTAATTCTGGATTTTAGGCCATCCATGTTCGACACTCTCCTCTTGTAAACGTTGTCCTTTACAAATCACCAAAGGAAAAAGTCCATAACATTGCAATAAGTTGCCAAAAACAAAAAAGAGAAAAATGCAATTAATAAGCAGACGATATTTAGAAAAGTACAGATATTTAGACTAGAAAAGGAAATTATCTGAAATTAACCACACGCGCAGACGATATTTACAAAAGTAAAGATATTCAAACCTGAAAAGGAAAATATATAAGTTATTCCATCAATAAATGCCATAAGTTTTTTTATATCTTCATTATTTTATGAGTTATTAAACCTCAAAATGGGTTTGGGACATTATAAACACCCTGTACATTAGTGTAAGCGTCTTTTCCAATTGCTGTCTTATTGCCATTATTTTAGAACTCTCCACAGATTTTTAACAATTTGATATAAGTTAATAATTTTTTTGATTTGATAATAATACAGGTGCGTGATCCATCGAAACAGCAGAATTCAACTTGGAACTTTTTCTCATTTTCATATAAATTTGTTCTTTTCATGCTCTGGATGTTAACTTCCAGAAATTCAAATTTTTATGTCACAGGAGACCTCATTTATCGTAATAATGTGTGGAAAAAATGTATTTTTAGAATGCCGTCTTTGAAATGGGGAATAATCTTTTTCATACTGTTTAAGTCAGAAGGAAATTTTGATCACCCATTTACTGCTGGCCTTAATTTCGTTATTTTATGTCGATTAGTTCCCATGTTCTCTACCTTTTTCTCTTATTGGCACAGTTTTGCTTTAACTGGGTCAGATGGAATTGCCTGTACACCATTATCTACGAAATATTTTACGTTTTCAATTAATTTTACGTTTTCAATTAATTTTACGTTCAATTCAACTAGACGTTTTCAATTCATTTTACGCAGTATGCCGTTTTAGTTAAAATTATGGGTGCATTTAGTTTATGAGTATTAAACAGATCAAAAGAAGTTGTAAAAATAATAATGATAATATTTTTATATTATATCATTTGTGAAAAGGTAAAAAGTCATCAACGGTTAAACACTGCATGAAAATTAAACATTTTGATTAGATAGTTAGATTCATATTCAGGCTAAATAGTCAGATTAATATTTTGATTGCTGATTTAAATTTATATTTAGATTAACATTAGGTTATTTTTTGGAAGAAGGCAAGATGAAAAATTAACAACGCCTTCGCTAGGAATCGAACCGCGGACCTCTGGGATACGCTCTCAGCGTGCAGACCACCACACCACGAAGGCATGCCAAGAAGGTGCCTTATATACTCCCCCTTTTAAAGGGCGACTGTCTTTTTAGGGGTCACAATCGCCAAATCCTGGGAGTGGAGAATCATCATACAACACCCTTTTAGTTCGGGAGCTAGTGTAGAGACATAAGGTTATTTTTGGAAGCAGGCAAGATGAAAAATTGACAACGGCTTCGCTTGGAATCGAACCGCTGATCTCTGGAATACGCGCCCAACGTGCAGACCACCACACCACGAAGGCATGCCAAGAAGGTGGGCGAAATACCTTATAAACAGTCTGATTTTACGTTTTTATTAGCTAAATTAATATTTTAAATATAGTTAAACATCATAGTGTGCATTAATAGTATTTTATATTACTATTGCGTGCTCCGCCATTAGGCACTACACGGAAAGGGAGGGATGTCCTGTGGACGTCTTTTCAAGGGAAACTGGTTCGTATCCACATTTCACATGGAGAAAAGCACGAAAACGCCCATGCAGCCAGTCCGTTCACCGGGACTCGAACCCTGGACCAAACTATCAGCGTTCAGCGGCGTTTATCGCTCGGTCGCTAATAGGCTTGTTAACAGTATTACTTTAAAAATATAGTAATTATAATAATGCAAAAATTTCAGTTTTTATATGATTTATATGATTAAAGTTTGTTGTTAATCAGAGTGAAAATAAATGATAGCATGTATAAGGCCTTTTGGGGGGAGGCGGGTTACGTTAGCTTTGGAGAAAATTTAACCAGGGTTTTTTAATCCTTATTTAATGGTTAATTTAGTTCATTTACTTAAAAATGCATAAGGGCGCAGGAAACTATGAAATAGAGGTTGCACTTAGAACAAACAAGAAGGCTTAATGTCAGAAGATCTGGTCCTCTCTAACAGTCATACAACTCTCACAACGCGAATTAAGTCGGTTCCACGCTTGCAGCACCACTATTTTCAAGTTCTGGAGTTTTTTAAAAGGGGATAAGGCGAGTTGCAATTGCCCTCCTACGAGCGTACAAGACGTGTTCTATTAATTTTAGGTTTTCATATCTGGTTGACCAATCCATTCGGTTAATATCCTCACTTAACCAACAGATTACCTTTACGTGACCAAGCGTTTTCGTCCATAAAAATTAACTAAGAGCTAACTATACCTCTAAAATGCGAACTCAGGGCTCTCAGATTACTCGTAGCCTCGTAGCAGTCACAGAACCTCAGTGAGGAAAGAGTACACGAAAGGTTGCGCGTATGTCCAACATGATGCCTACCCAAATCATCAGACTTCCACTCTTAGACTGATCTCTTTGTCAGATGTTTGAGATCAGTGAGCAGGTTATTGGCTCTCTCTCCAGTTGAAGGTATGTCGAGATTCAGTCGCTAGGGTGAATCGGGACTCATCTATTACAAGAAAGACAGTCCCCACTGTTGCTTAATCCAAAGTCATCGTTCTTTGCACCATGCTAAACGGGCTTGCTTGAGAGCAGAAGTGAAAGAGACTCAAGTAGCAGATCATTTTGCGAAAAAAAGAAAGAAGATTTATTAGCTCTATGTTTGCCTTTAGAGGGGTGCACTTCGCTCTGTTCATTTTTATCAGAGACAAGGCTCGTTCATATAAGGCAAATTTGATGGATGATTTTTCTGGAAAAGGAAGATATTAATAGGATGCATTGGTCAGCCAGATATCCAAACCAAAGCCTCGGACACTTTTGGAAGAGTAGCTACAAATCTCCTTCCTTGTCCTATAAAACTTAAGAACCTAAAAAACAGGTTTAGGAGTGGGACCGACTGCCACAGAGACTTTTAAACTCTTTCATTTCTAGTATAAACCTTATTGTGAAAACTGTGTGACGACCAGGAGCAATCTTGGCCTTCTGACTAAGTCTGTACCTAGACAATCTCGACTTCTGGGGGAAAATTAATTGTTTTCACAGGACTAGAACCATCGTTTCTTCTGTGGCAGGTTCAGGTTCAGCAGGGACCGTACTGGTACTGTCTTGTTTGCCCCTTGGTTGTGGGAAGGTTACATTGTTAGATATTGAAGGTTGTCGTTGGGGGCTTGGCTCTTCTTGGTCATGGCTGGGGGACGGTCAATGTTTGACCTGTACATGTGCTTGAGTTTCCTTTTATGTGGATGCTTGCCGTCCACCATTCGCTTTGTGCTTTTTATTCTCAGACTTGTGAGACAAAAATTGTTATGCCCATCTGGAAGATATGTAGGGGTTGGGGCAATTAACCGTGTTAAGGCTGCCTTGAGCAATGCCAGGTCTGGGTGCCCCTTTTTCTAGCGCTGTCCTTGTTAGCCTTTTTTTTTTTTTTTTTTTTTTTCGATCGCTGTTTAGGCTCTAGATATAGGTGGACGTGGTGCTATACCGATTAACCTTTTGGTAAAGGGACAGTGCCCACGTCCTCCGTTGCTTATCGCTTAACTATTGCATGGTATATATATATATATATATATATTATATTATATCAACAACTTATGCCTGGGACAAATTTCATTAAAATCTGCTCATCAGTTTCGAAAATACTAAAACGAATGTGAAAACTCTCTTAACTTTAAACACCAGTATAATTTACCAATCAGCAATCGAAGAAGTGGCTGCATGAAACAAGTAAAACTTTTTAAGGTTAAACTTACTACTAAGCCGCGCAACTGGTATAATGGTTAGCGACTCTGACTGTATCGAAGGACCTGAGTTCGAATCCCAGAGAAGACATGGATGTTTGTAAATGTATAGTGTCTGTGAGGAATTGAGGGCCCTCTAAATATGCAGCGAGCCGAAAGTTTTCCCGAGAAGTTGGTAGTAGGGAAAGAGGGGTGAGAGACCATAGAACCCGTTTCCCCGGGGTTCTGTCTCTCAAAATTTGAGGGTGGACCTTAGCTAAAGTCGGCCTGTCACTATATGGGGCTCAGGGCTCATGCTCACCATAAGCGCATTTAATTCCTTGACATGATGAATGTCTGGGCTTGTGTTGACCATTGTCAGATAAGTAAGATTGGTAACAACAATAACAACTTACTCTTAGTGTTATTTATTCATCAGGTGATCATTCATTCAGATTTTCAACTTTTACTTCCAAATCATGTTATGCAAGTGTAAGACTAAATAAACCGAAAATCAGCATTTAGTAGTATTTTTAATAGTACTTAATTGACATGCATAATAAACCATACGCAGAGAAAGGAAAATTTATATTTGAATGAAGAGTATTCCTATTGCATCTTAGCTTTAAGTACTGCAAAAATGTAATTGGCCTACTAATTTAAAATTCACAAAATCTTGGATGCATTGCTTATTCGTTCTCATTTTAAGGACATAAATAATGAAGTCATTTTCTACAGTTTAAAATGGCAAAAAAAGAGTTTAAAAGTGCATGAAAATGAAACCGTTTACAATCTGATGCTTTTGATTTACAAAACAGCTAGAAATCAAATAAGAAAGTTTTTACATTATTCACGAATGAAGAAATACGAAGATCTAATATTTTATTGAATGTGCTTCATATTTCCATAAAAGTGCCGGACCAGACGTATGGTGGTAAAAAAGTTTAACAGATCTAAAATCTTGCTTTTGAACTGACGAAAATTAAACAGTTTTAGGCTATACAGTCTTATGTTCCTATTCATGGTTCACAATCAAAGGATCATAGTATTTTATTCTTTTTGGAGAATGCATATGAATAAATTCCATGTACCAAACTGCCACAAATTTGAATGAATTTGAAATAATTATTAAGATTCTAGTAAGCGATCATTTAAAAGCCCGAAAACTATCTATGATAGTTAATGTTATTAATTAATTACACCACTCTAATTAACATCTGCTATTTTCGTTTTATAGTCAGTTTAAAATAAGTGAAGATTAAAATTTAGATCCTAGAACGCAGGACTTTTAGATCAAGTTTTGATTCAGCTAAAATAACGTTAGTTTTTCTCGAGAAATGATATTTTTAATACTATCCCAAAGTGCTAAATTCTTAAATCATTTTAGCAGCATAAACGTAATAAAACGGGTAAGAAAAACTGTTCAGTCTTGCTTAATTTATGATCTGTTTGTCCAGTTTTCTATTTCCCCGTTGAAAACAACTATAGGGGTAACAAAATGCGACGTTACTATGGTAACAGGTTATTCACCTCTTTCGTAACTCCAAGAAAAATGTTCTATTTCAACTAACGGCTTAATATGTTACTTTTAGGAATTAATGTTATTGTTTCTTTTAGTTTTGTTGTATCTTCTTGGGAAAGCCAAACGAAATTCTTATTGCTATTATTCCTAACTCTGACTTACTAGAACAGTAATTTATGACAGTAAATCTAATTTTAGATGATAGATGTTGCAATTTTATTTCGGTAAATTATACGACACAAGGTATTAAGCATATCAGCTTTCTTCCTTAGACCTTGTAGAGGCGATGCGAAACCTAAAATTAGTTTAATTTGTCCTCGTAAACAAGACGAGTTTGAATATACATAATCTGACGTGTTTCGTTAAGAGTTTAAAAATAGTATAGCAAAGTAATACGAAAAGAGTTGCTATAAACTGCTCTTAAAAAAGCTTCATAAATGCTTTTTTTAATGCTTTCAATGATCACATTTTGTCAATGACGCTAGTAAAATCTCATTTCTAATGGATGTATTATGTTGTACTCGCACTTACATTTCCTAGACATCAAGGGACAAAGACACTTCTCATCTACTGGATCCTATAACAATAGTCAAACCTTGGGCTCGCTAGCAAAGATTGCAAAAGTAAGTCTATGGAAGTTTACTGAATTTTCATTCAGAATACTGATGCGTTTACCTTTCTTCATCAAATAAACTAGTGAAATAATTTTTCAAAAATCTCAGAAATGCATTATGTATCATAATAACCAATAAATAACAACACGTTAACTTAAGCATTAATGATATAGTCCTGGAATACTTTTTTTTTCTGAAATTGTTGCTATTATCAGTACAACTTTAGACACTAAATTTAAAAATAGTTTTAAAAAAATTAAGTGTCACTTAAGCAGTTAGAAAATATTCTGCAGAATTTTTTTTTCTTCTCTGAATACTCAGTACTTAACTTAAAGCCTAAAAATAGGTACATCTTTCACACACACACAAACAAAAAAAAAAAAGGACAATTCTGTATCTTCCGTTCAACTGGGCCGATTGACAAAATTTAACTTGCATTTTTCATATCTCGACAGCGCAACTTAGAGTGTATAAGATTTATAAACAGCATTTTTTGACATAGGTATTTTGACTCGAAATCGGACTTTTTCTGAAATGGTATACCTATTTTTTCCATATTTCCAGTAACTTTTAAAAACTTAGCTCTCGAAATTTTAGCTCCAGTTTATTGAATATGGCTTACATTTATTAATACCTCTTTTTTATTAAACTTACTAGGTTCATCCTTTCACAATTCGAAATTTAGCTTCAAAGTTATTTTCTGATTTGTTTTTAAGATCTGTATTTTTTAGTAGTTTTTAAAAAACGTTTTGTATCATAAGCAATAAAATTTTGGTCGTCAACTTAAAGTAGATGTATTTCTAGGCATACTCGCAAAAAATTATAAATTTTATTTAATATTTCTGAAGATATACGTAAATTTGCATATTGACGCGTTTTGAAATTTGGCATATTTGCTTTAAGCGATAATAACGCCAAACATGGTTCACGTTCCTAAAATTATTTGAAAGAATGAACCGATGCACGTTTTATTCCGCTCGGAAAGGGAAAGGAAAATTGGTTACCATAAATTAAAAATTTTGCCAAGTAACTTATTCTTAGCGCAAACTGAAAAACTGTGCCAAGATAAATTATTAAATTTCTCATAATATTTTACAAAATTTAATATTTAAGCATAATTTGAGTCGTAGAATCGGAATATGGAAAATTATCGGTGTGTCGTTTAAGTAAAAGATCGATTTTGTGTCAAAACATCTATATTAGAACTATGCTATGTATAAATTTAATAAATATCTAAGTCGCGCTTTCGAGACGTGGAAAACCCAAATTAAATTTCGTCAATCGACCCAATACAACGGGAGATATAGAACTGTCCGCCCCCTTTCTTATTCCTTGGCAAGGTGTATACTTATTCAAAGATGCAAGTGGTTTGCATCCCACTCAGGTGTAGTAGTGAATGGTAGGATAGTTTTATGTGCACTATGTAACTCATTGGTTGATATTCGATACTAGTGCATCTTATGAAATTCTGTATCAGTGATAATGAGCATAAATGCCACCTTTAGCTATAATAATGTTCTTTCGTACAAATCGCATTTAGTTGAGAGAGATTTGCAGAATAAAAAGTTTTCCCATTTATATGCCCTGCTAAATAACCCAAAATGAACAGCATAGAGCATATATGAGGAAAGCTCAGAAGACATATGCGAAGTCATCTTATGGCGGCATCTTGTAAGATCAAGCCTCCAGAAGATTTGACTTGCTTTTTTCCAAACGGGGAGATTACTAAGGTAAAACTGTAAAAATTATCAGCTTTTTCGAAGAAGGAAACAAGAATAATCAATTTTTCCTTCTCCGGGATATGAAACAACTAACTTAATGTGCTAACCATTTAAACCGAAAGGATACGCAAGGTGGAATGCAATAATTCCTCGCAAAACTCGATCAACAGTGTCATTAAAAGACAAACAGTCATAGAAGTCAGGAGTTCATACTGTACGGGTTCGTGATATTTAGAGTGACTGACGACGACACTTCATGAAGTATAAAAACACAATTTATTAGCCAGTATTATTCAGAACTGCTCCAAAAATACGTTTACAGTCGTCGAAAACTGAACGCTGAACCAATCAGCAACACAGCCTTCAGACTATCAGACTATATATAACGTCCAGACTATAGTATATAACGTTGAAGACAGCTTCACGGCAAAGCACCAGAGTACAGCTCCCGACTCCTCTCGGTCGTTCTCGGAACTCTACGTACTTTCGAAACTCCAGCCTTCAGGCTTTCAGGCTATAATGCTGAAGACAGCTTCACGGCAAAGCAGCAGAGTACAGCTTCCGACTCTGTTCGGTCGTTCTCGAAACTCAACGTACTCTCAAGACTCTCCACGCTACAACTTGCGACACACTGGACGATACACTCGATAGCCTCAATGATGCACACTCTCGGCGCACCAACTCGAGATACAGTCGACGACCAACTCATCACTGGACTCAAGAGACACTAGACTAGGCTACGAGACACACGATAGACTCGCGATCTGCTAAGAGTTTCTGACGAGACACACTATAAACTTGCGATCGACTAGACGAGACACTATCTACTCCTTAGACTTAGACACATTTAGTATATTACCGAGCTATTGCAGATTTAAGGAAACGTTGCCGGTTCCTTAAATCAAGCCCGAGGGCACATGACATAAAGAAATCTGGACATGGATAACATCTCAGAATAGAAATCGGCGAAAAGCAAAAGGGAACCAAAAAGAAACGGCCAAATGTATCTGGCAAGTGAACGGAACTTGACAAGATGAAGAAAAATTCGAAAAGATCCATGACAATTCAGTGAAATGGCAAATGCAGTACATGATTCAAAATACTATACAACAAAATCAAAAGTTCAATACTACTAAAAATCTACACAAATACAACCTATACAACAGGAAAACAAGACACAACAATCAGTACAACTTCACACGAGTAGTTCAAAACAATTTGGAATACAACACAGTCTACATCAGATAAATGAAAGTAATTACAGCCACCAATTGAGAAGCAAGAGAAGAAATAGTGGCCTCAATTCATGAAAGCGTCAGCTGCTAGTGGTCTTATGTTGCGGTCTTCATTGAGAATTTCGTAGTTGAAAGACTTGAGAATAGTTCACAAAGTCGCATTGGACAGCTTTAGAGAAGAATTTCTCATTTGTTCTTTTAATAAATTCTGTGATGGTCTCAAGCTTAAGATCTCTATGAAGAAGTTCGTTTCGAATAAGACAGTCAGCATCAGTGATAATACGAAGAAATTTATTCTGCACCACTTCAAGTTGATGTAGTTGATTTGGAGAAGCAGTATTCCAAGCTGGAGATGCATAACAAATAATATAACGGATGCAAGTAGTGTAAATATGTCTCTTAGTTCTTAGTTAGTTAGGAAATTTTTCAATGACTGGAAGTAATCTGCACATAATTCCAATGGCTTTATTTTTAACATTCTTAATATGATTAGTCCAAGTGAGATTATGGTTAAGAATAACTCCTAAGTATTTGGCTTTTGTAAATAATGGAACAGGCTCTTGAAAAAGGAAAAGTTCTTTAAACGTGGTGCTTTTTTTTTTTTTTTTTTTTTTTTGAGAAGGATTAAAAGTTGAGACTTACCGGCGTTAATTTTTACTCTCCAATTGGTGCACCAATCCTCTACCGTGTAAAGAAATTCTTGCATTTTATCAATTGCATGATTAGCTTTGATTGACGTGATGGCTATCGCTGTATCATCGGCGTAGCATGCAAGAAGAGAGTAGTTGTCTAGTCCAGGATGAGGAAAGTCCGAGATGTAAAACAGGTAAAGAACCGGTCCGAGGATGCTTCCCTGCGGAACACTAGATCTTATAGGTTTCAGAGTAGAGGTTTCATTGCCCAGTGAGACGAAGAACTTGCGATGTTGTAAAAAGGAATAAATCAGGAGAATTAATTCTCTAGGCAATACTATCTACTCCGCGTACCAGCAGGGTTTATATAGCTTTTGGCTCGCGTGCGGAAGCATTCTGGGCCATACCGGTAAGAATTTGTTCTAGAAGGTTCTCCATCCGTCTCTGGCATATCGCAAATTTTGTCGCCAGATGTCGCTAAATGGATGATTTCTCGCCAAATATGGCAACCCTAAACCCGCCTTGCTGTGAAGCTATCTTACCGCAGCTAGACATTTCGTAACATTATAACAGCTGTTATAAGCCTCAGGAGATAAATGTACACCTATAGATTTTAATGCCACTTTTGGCTTTGTGTAAAGTGTAAAAGACATAACTCGAACAATTTTTATCGTAATAATCCTTTGTGTGGGAAGGGGCAGTTTATCCGGCATAATTTGCTGATATTAATTTGTTCTAAAAATTTTACTTAAATCTATGGCATAGTTTTTTTTATTAATAATAAGCTGTTTACTGTTGTTTTTGACCAAACGTATAATTTACCTCGCCAGTAATATATAAAGTGTATTCTCCGTTCTTTCCGCATGACTTCGTGGTGTAATTGAAAGCATACTCGATGCGTATTCGAGAGGTCCAGGGTTAGAGTCCCGCCGAGGGTATTGAACATTTTTCACGTCTTCAAAGAAACTTAATAACTCTGCAAATGCCGAACGAACTAAGAAAAGGTGGTGGACTATAACTCGTCACCACCAGGATTTGGCGACTGGGTGTCCTAATCCCCAGTCGCCCTTTAAAAAGGGGAAGTATATATCGCATTTTCTCCCTCCTTTCTACATGTTTTCGTGGTGTAATTGGAAGCATATTCGAGAGGTCCAGGGCTCGAGGGTATTGTACATTTTTCACATTTCCTACTTTGAAAGAAACTTAACGACTCTACCTAATGATACTGACATATTCTGTTATTTGGTTCAAAACGAAAGCTTTCTTCAAATTGTGGAATACATAAGGAAAATTTAGAAGTTCAGAAAACTGGGGAAAGAGACATTTGATTCAGAAAAAAGATTCTGGCTCAGTCTTTTTTATTATTATTATTACTATACTTTATTTTCAAACTAGCAGCTTCGCTGCCAGCCTTCGTCTGGAAAACACACCAACTTTTAAATTTAAAAAACTGCGTAGAACTTTACTCTGCAGAACAACTTCATCAAAAAAAAGTTATTATGTATAACAAAATTACAATGAAATAAGCAATATACTTTAATACAAATATTAATTATACTAATAAATAAAGTAACCAACGTCCCTTTGCAAAATTTTAAGAACTCAAATGGTATAAAGGAGGTTAAGAACTTTGTTTCCTAAAAAAATCACTCAATTTTCAATATCTTAAAAACAGTGAAATGAGCAATAAGTAAGGCTCTAGTGTAGAATTGGGTGTCCCTTCGATTGGCAACAATTTTTTTTTTTTTAAATTTAGCGATGAACCTCACTTCTGGTACCTCGATAGTTTAACTTTGTTTTAGCTTCCTGATTTTATTTAAATGAAAATAGATGATTGTGTACATGGACATATTTAAAGCAGTGCGCAATGCCTAGTTTGTGCAATTCTAGGATGTTTTTTTAAGTAAAAACAAATCGATGTGTACATGGACACAGATTTTGTGCAATTCTTTGACTTCTTATTTTGGTTTTGTGTAGCGGCCATCTTGAAATTGGGCCTTCCTGGCGCCGATCTTGGCGTCAAAAAAGAATAGCCAATAAACAAGGGGCACCCAGTTGTAAACTTTTACCATAAGTAACATAAAAGAATGCAAACACCAAAAAAATTCTGAAAATCAAAGTATAATTAATGATATTTTATCTTATATTTTCAAGAGAAAAAAATTACAATGAAATAAGCTATATCCCTTAATACAATATTAATTATTCTATAAAAAAATTAACCAACTTTCCGTTGAAGAAAAAAATCATGCAAAACTTTTCAATATCTTACAAATAGTGAAAAAGCAAAAATTAACAGGAAAGGAAACTCAAAAAACAAAAAATTCCGCCACAATTTTACTCTGCAGAACAACTTTAACTTTAAAAAGAAAGTCAATAAAAATGTATATATATATAAAAAAATGACAATGAAATATGCCAATCTCTTAAAACAGTGACATAAAAATACGATGAAAAATTGTTGCCAAACCCATATTTCTAAAAGAATGAAACTATTCAAAATGATGCGATTTCATCAAAAATCTATCAACAATAATAAGAAAGGAAAATTGTTGCCAAAATCACATTTTTAAAGATGTGAGAAGTGTACTCGGAAGCTTCATTTAAAAAATGTTTTAAAAATACAAAATATTATCATTTTTCTAAAATTCTTTTTATAAAAGCAGTCGCAAGGGTGAAAGTTTAACGTGTCCAAATATCAAAGAAAAATAAACTTTTTTAGAAAAAATCCCGTTGAAAAGGTGTTAAGCTCCATTTGTTAAATAAATTCGTATTGAATCGATTTATTGAAACACGAAATTTATTTTAAGTTCGTAAAATAGCTAAGTGCCTACGTTTCATGACGAAGTGAAAATGGAGTGTGTAGAGTAAAATCTCGCTTTTCTATAGCTCATTATGTCTCAAAATGACGCGATTTCGTCACAAAACATAAAATAAAAAATTCGACTTTCGAAAAAATCGCTTCGAGGTGCAGTGTACCCAATTTCGTAGCCGTGGGTCTATTAGCTTACGCGCAGCGCGAACGAAAGACACACACACACAGACAGACTCTTTCTTTTATTATATGTAGAGATGGTTTCATTATGTAAGATTAAACAGTGAAGAAACAAAGCTATTGAAAATTAATCTTCAATTTAAACTTTAACATAAAAAATTTCTATCTATTGCGTGTTTTGCAATTTATGGGATTTTTATCGAAATACTTCTTTCATTTGCACTTTGAATATCCTATTTTAATCATTTATAATCTAATCTAACTTAACCGAAATAATGAAGGAAAAACTGCATTTTTTTCTTTGAGTTATTTTCACATTACTGAAGAGCAAAAACCTATTTTATAATGTAAGCAAATGATCACTGCCTATTTATATGCAAAAATAGTGGCTATGAACAATAGTAATTTAAATTACGCCGCACATAAAGCTTTCTTTAAAAGCATTAAAATTACTAAAATGAAAACGCCAAAAATTTCAATAAATGGGGGAAATAACAACTTACTTATGCAGTGATGAGGTATGAAAATTTTAAGGCTCGCACTTTATATTATAGAAATAAAATATCAAATTCTAATGAACAGTTTTAGTTTTACAAAGGTAAAAAAAAATATTTAATTGCGAGCAAACAAAAACACATTTTATTAAAAAATAGAATATTTATAAAATATCGCAGAAATTACATAAAATAATGTGTAAATTTAGCTATGCAGCCCAATTAGTGCCACATAATATTTTTCTCTTCTTTCAGGTCAATTCAACTTGTAAGGACATTCTGAAACAGAACAAAGATTTTTGAAAAGTGTTTTTACATAAGGTTCTATGATTAAATTAGTTTAAAATTTTCTCATTAAAAATTTTTCATTAAATCTGAAATATATTGGTACAGTTCAAGAAAATTTTCTTTTGGAGGAAATATTCAAGTCTAGCTCCAGCATTTTCGACGACTTGGCGGTCAGCACTATTAGCGTCCTCTATATAAATTAAGCATATGGTAACAGAAAACGAATCATTCTTAATAAGAAATGAAATATATACCTTTATTTAATTGTCACTTCTGAGCAAATCTCAGCCGGCGTCCTCAAAAAACCGATTCCCTAAGCAGATGCTTTTGGCTACGGAGACGTATCTGGAAACATTGTTCATCCAGCTAAATATCTCGTTCAGTTTCACCACTAGTAATGGTGCTAATCTTCATAACTTCAGCTTTGTTACTGTATAAAAATTTCGTTGTGAAATTTTTCTGTTAAAGCCATCCTAACGAAATTCAGAAAATTATGTATTTATTTTTACTGCTTGAATATGAAATTTAATTGCTTGTGTTTTGTTTCGATCCTTTTGGCCATAACATGCTGCTTTTTCCATATACCATGTGTCTGATTAACAAACATTAAAAATTGCTTTTAAGTTCTTCATTGCTAAGTTCTTCATCATTTTCATTTTTTTTATTTCGTAATTGCTTTGCTGCAATATTCTATTTTGTAAAGACCTAGCGATATAGTTCAGTAATTAATTTCGTGGTAATCTTCTTTTTAGTCTTTAATTCTTCAGATTCCTTCAGATTTCTTTAACATTGAATAAACATTAGATTCATAACATTCTTGAGAATGTTTTAAATTATTGGTAGCAATTAAAATCGCAATAACAACTTCGTATTTAGCGTACATATATTAAAACACTAAATCGATTTCGAGGGCAGCTAAAGGTCCCTCCTCATCAGGAGAACGAAATTACTAGAAAAGGGAAAAAGAAGAAAAATAAAGCATTGGCAAAGGAATCTCAGAAACACGGAGTCGTAACCGGATTTTGAATCAGATTTACACTGGCCGCCTACTTTTAGTGAGCTAGGCTATCTGATCAAACATATAAAACATAGACTAAAAAGCAAACAAGTCAAAAAAATAGGGAGCGAGGGGCAACTGTACCTTCACGCACCAAGTCTGAACCTCGAATATGAATTCGTATACTTTGCATCTTTTAATTTCTCTTTTATTGCATATACAAGCGCAATACTTTAGAAGTTGCGTAATACGAAATATAGTGGTTGTAGACTGCACAGTTTTCCTACATATTTTCGCAGCGTTATATTTCATTCATATTATAACTCAGAATGCACCAAATTTATATCATTTGAAGAATTATCTAATCGTTGCCACACGTTCTATTCAAATACTATAATAAATCTAGAACGATGGATAAGAAATTAAACAAACAAACAAAAAGAAACAGTTTTCACAACGATTGTATATTCTCTCATTCAATTATTCAGTTCTCACTTCGCGAAAGGCAAATACATAAAACTCAAAATCTATATTAAAAATTACGAAGTAATCTTAAAAACTTCCGAAAAATTCACGAAAGATAAGCATTTAATTCGCAATAATAAATGAAGGCCTTATCTTTGTTTTGCGAAACTTAGTTTCTCTAAATTGGCAACAAATCCGCTATTTTGCCAAGTTTAAAATATAAGCAAACTACTGGAACTTGATTTTCAAGATCTGCGGTTGCTCGAGGTCTTCAAGAGATAGGGTTGGATGCGCTGTTTGCGTCCCGCTTACTGCAGCACACAAGAGAATGCGAGAATGCATTTAGCATGGGGCAGACAACATGCGCGTTTGACCAGTCTTAGAAGAGCAGCGTGATTTTTACAGATGAGTCGAAATAGAGCCTCGACACTGATTCTCGGCGTACCTGCATATGGAGAGAGAACCTGGAACATGATTCCATTCCTCTCTCATCAGGCAAACGATCATTACAGTTATTGAGGTGTAATGGTTTGGCCTGTATGTTGGACGGCCTCACACTCCTACTTGTGTTTGATAAAGGCTCCCCGAATACTAGGAGATATATGTAACTATTATGAGTTATCTCTATCATCTATAACGAACTGAGCCTCTGAAAAGTCAAACATAAGGCTCTAAATTTTCTTCTCTAGAAGAGAACTTAGAGCCTATGTTCGACTTTTCAGAGCCGCAGTTCGTTCTTGGGCTCCTGTTAATGGACAACAACGCTTGTCCACATAGGGTCTTCGTTAATTACCTGGAAAGTGAGGATAATCCATTCATTCGTATGGATTGACCGGCCAGATCTCCTGACATTAACTCTATGCTCTTAGGACGGCAATTCTATTCCGCCATCCCTTCCGAGAACCATCCCGGAGCTGAAAACTGCCTTGTTGCAGGAGTGAGATCGATTGCCACAGGGACTCCTCAGCTGCCTCCTGTCCACTATACCCTCGCGCTGCGAGATCTGTCTGGCTGTGAATTAGGACCATACTCCATATTAGATTCATCTTCAGTTTGATATGAAAACGCGGATTTTGGATATCCTTGCATGATGTACTTTACTGATAATTGTGCGTACATAAAAGGAATTTTGACTGATACATCTTTCTCTTTTATAAATGTGTATTCATACAAAATTTCATTAAAAATCTATTCAGTAGTTTTTCAGAAATTCGACATAATTTGCAAATTTTCGTAATTTTGTTATGAAATTTAAATGCACAGAAATTTAAATGCACAGAATGTAAATGCACAGAATTTAAATACACAGAATATGAAATTTAAATGCACAGAAATGTCACTTATGCAGAAATATCCTGTGTGCAAGTGTTACACTGTCATTTTAAATTCAAGAAAATTTGTATTCAAAATTTATTAAAGCCGGTAAATCAGATATTGGTCGGTTTTATTTGCTATAAAAAGAGTTAAATATTTTCGAAGTTAAAAATATTTCTTTTTCCTTTATATTACCGATTAAATTTGGCAATATTGATTTGTATTACACTTCATTTATTTTAATGATTTTACTATTATGAGGAAGTGGCTGATTATGCTTACATAACATTTTGCTCGAAGTTCTTAACAGTTTAATCTGCAGTTCTTAACTCTATAGCTTTTAAATTAAGTTGTACTTTAATTTTTACCTACCCTCTAAATATATATATCTTTTCTTCTTAATTTTCGCATCATCCTAACCTCTAAATGTATATTTTTTCCCTTCAATGCCCAAATGTTTATACTGTAAACAAAAAGAAATAGTTCGATTTCACATTTAAAATTAATAACTATTCAAATTGAATTTTGAAATAGATGCTTATTTCCAGCAATCTGCTAAATAATTTTCTACTTCTGTTTGTATTTTCTTCAATATATAAAAAACCATAGGTAGATGCAGAATAAACTACTTTTCAAGAAAAAAAAAAAAAAAGGCTGTGTTTTCAAGTTTAGTGGCAATAAGTTCTTTTGTAATAATTATATAATAGAAAATTTTCCAAACGCACAAACCTTATTTATAAACATTTAGCATAAAAAAAGTTAGTCTTTTACGTGCGCAAAAATTACGGCTTTGGTCATTCGGCCACTAGTTGCTTACTGCGTTATTAAATTTAGGTTTAACGACCTCAGTTTAAATTTTATGGTAATTTACTTTATTTCTCCTGCCTTCTTGGCGTGCCTTCGGGGTGTGGCGGTCTGCACGCTGGGCGCATATTCCAAAGGTCCTCGGTTCGATTCCTAGCAAAGGCGTTGCTAATTTTTCAAGTCTCTTGCTTCCAAAAACATACCTAATGACTTTACAGTGGCGTCCGAACTAAAAGGTAGTGAATGGTGATTTCTGCACACCCATGATTTGATGATTGAGTCCCCTAAAAACCCCAGTCGCCCTTTAAAAGGGGGGGTATATAAGGTATTTCTTCCGCCTTCTTAGCATGCATTCGTAGTGTAGTGATCTGCACGCTGGGCGCGTATTCCAGAGATTCGTAGTTTGATTTCTGGCGAGGGCTTGCTCATTTTTCATCTTTCCTGCTTCCAATTAACCTAATGACTCTACAATTTAATCGCTTATTTATTGAGGTCTTTTAATACGATGCATCTACTCGAACTACTTAACCGAAAACATATGAATCCCTAATTTTTGGAACAACATCAAGGAAGAGATACTAGGATTAGATAACTAAGATTCTAAGGAGAAGAGACAAGTATAATTCAGATTAGAATTATGACATTTAAGATATTGTTTATCTTGGAATAAATAGAAAAGTAAACAAAAAGAACAATAGGCTGGCAAATCACAGACACATTTAACAAAGCTGGAACCAATTCCCCGAAGTTCCTCATTACTCTTCAAAATATTTTTGTCATTCTTTGAAGAGTGGCACTTTTTAACCTTCCAAACTGACAGAAGAAAATTTGCTAAATAACTTGTTTCTACATTTTATACTTAATCACAGATTTGTATCACTCCTTTTATGAGACTTTCTTATAAAAGAAGTAATGTAACTTATTTCTTATTTGTTTAATTTAATTTTTATATAAGTATAAAACAGCTATTTCGAAGTATATTTTGTTGTTAATATATAATGTGATTGTCGAAAATTATATGTGTAAAAATGCGCCATTTCTGTTTTTTAGTAAGTAAGCGTAATTATGGATTATCTGAAAAAGTTATTATCCGAAATTTTTCTGCCGCAATTAGTTCGAATACACTCAACTCTGTTATATAACGGTTATAAAGACCGCGCGTAAAAAATCTTAAAAAGCAAGAAAATATATTGATAGATATTAATTTATTAAAAAAAACTTAAAAGGAATAAAATATTCACTTGTTCGTTAAAATATAATGCGTAATTAATTTAAAATATTATCATAAATCATTAATGAAAGTTTTAAATGATGCCATCTTAAAAGTGAAAAAAAAAGATCATAAGTAATTCATTTATTAAGCTACTAATTACACCTTAAAATATAAAAATATCACTTGCAAATAGCTGTACAGAGCTTTCGTAATAAATCAGTTTTCGTTAGTTAAGGAAGATAAAACTGTGTCAGCCACACTAGCTGATAATATTTATTAATGCCTTTTTTGGAGGCTTTAAACAAAAGTAACTGTAAATCAATTAATTATCTTTGCATATTGTATTTTTACAACTTATTCTTTGAATGATTTACTGTATTTTTTCCCTTTTATAGGAAAAATAAAACTACTTGAAAGCGATACCGAGTGCCTGAAAGCAAGAAGAGGACCTTGTGTTTACAAACGAAAAGATTTATGATGAATTAGCACCTACATTTTGGCCTTAACGTCATGTGTCATTCCGACCCGAGCTTAAGCCAAAATATATCATTATCCATTGTTGTCATCCAGGGACAATGTCATCATAATCTAGACTTGCCCTTATTTTTGGAAATGCATTTTAGGACAAAATGCATTTATATATACTTTGCCCCAGTTTCGAAGCCTTTGTGATTATTGCTGGGAAAACTGTGGTGTTTGAGAGCACTCATGCTTATCAATATCATTCTTTAAAACGCACAGATGCATTTCTTTTTGTCTCAGTAATGTACGTTACGTGTTATATATGAATAAAATGCACCATTTGTATTGGTTTTGTGAATAAAATAATCATTTGCACTTTTTTTTATACCGCACTTTTTAACTAGTATTTACAGTGATTTAAAAAAGCCAAAGAACAAATCAGATACCTAGATGCATTCAATTGGAAATTACTAAAACAAATTCCGTACAGTACTACATTTTTTTTTACGGGTATCACTTACACATTGTGCTACATTAACCATGAGGCCGGTTATTATCGGCTAGGAGGGTTGCAGCACAGTCGTATATTACATTACATTACATTATATATAATTCTTTATCTGACTAATATATAATCTCTGATATTAAAATGTTCCTGATATAAAAACTCCTGATATTAAGGGGGCTTAAACCCCTTATGATCTTCGAATATGTGACTGTTGCAAGAATTGGGATATTTTATTTCTTTTAAAAGCAGTTACTTCCAACTTTTTACAGCTGACTACGTAATATAGCTGCTTTGGAAACTAGTAACCAGAAATTTTGTGTTGCCACAAATATGTTTGCAATTTAATCCGCTTTATGACAAAATTTTTCGTCATGTTTCCACCTTGCGCGCATAATATTTTTAAAATGGCTAATGGTACATACTTGAAATTGGATGGAATTCTTTATATGGGCACTATTTTCTAACCGATCCAAAAATCTGATGAATATTTTAATATTAAAAAAGTTTATGCACGAAAACATTACAGATTTTTTTAATAAAATACATTTTATAAACTCAACTCCAAATAAAATAAAAATGTAACATGAGATTCTTAGAATTTTTGGTTCACAGTAGTTTCCAAATGTTATAAAAGTTTAAATGTTATAAAAGTTATATATTAAATATGAAATTTAATTATGCAACAGAATATTTTAAACTGTGCGCGCAAAGTGAAAACAGGACGAAAGATTTTGTCACAAAGCGGATTAAATTATGAAAATATTTGTGGCAATACAAACTTTCTGAATACTATTTCAGAAAGAAGCTATATTGTGTAGTCAGCTGTAAAAATATGGAAGTAATTGCTTTTAAAATAAATAAGTTATCGCAATTCTGGCTACAATCACATATTCGAAGATCTTATTTGTTTTAAGATGTATGCTTCATTTAATCCTGTTGTGAAAATAGCATTTGGTTCAGGAAATGAGTTTGTCATATTCACATCATGCAATGCACTTAAAAACTGTGCAACGTTTTTTACTTCTCTGCACGAAGTAAAAGAAGTACTATAATTGCGAAAAATTTCGGTTTCAGATTTTAATGAAAGTATCTATTTTGACCGTTTCCGAAACCCCTTTTCACTATTTTTTTTTTTTTTTTTTTTTTTTTTTTTTTTTTGCATGTGGGTACATACTGATAGAATAAAAGACTCTTTATTCCAAAACGGATTGTAAAATGGATTTAAAATGGATACAAAATGGATTTGTTGTGACGTTTGGATGTACATACGTACGTATGTATCTCGCATAACTCAAAAACGATTCGCCGTAGAACTTTAAAATGTTTTGTAGGGCACTGCTATAACATCTAGTTGTGCATCTCCCTTTTTTATTGTAATCGGTAACACTAAAAATGGGTTCGTGTTATTTATATAAATATACATAGTGATATTTTACTTAAGGATGACTTGAGAAGAGAGGATGCCAATAATTCTGCATTCATGGCCGAGATGTTGCTGGCAGACAAATAGAATGCGTAATACACAGATGGAATTCGGAAAACCAAAAATAGCTGAATATTCACTACATAACTTTATTTTATTGAAGAATAATTTCTTAGGGCTTATTTTCTTGGTTTAAGCATCACTATGGAAGCGACAAACAACCCCGTTATATATACAACTTTATCACATGTTGAGATAATAGATAATACAGCGAAGCAGTGAGACACGTGCTAGCAGGCAAAAGCAAATAGAAAAGTGACTGCCCATGTGGTCAGGTCGTAATTCTAGAGCGAAGTGCCAGCCTTATTTTAGGCTTCAGCTTCGGTCGGCTTATGTCCCAACAGGACTTTGTATTAAATTTAAAAAAAAAAAAAAAAAAAAATCAGAGTTAACTCTGCCGTATAGTAGTGAAAAGAAAAAATTTTAGTATTTAAATGTAGAAGCCAGTGCTTCGGTCTTCAGATTGAATTTTAGTTTTGGCTTCAATTTCACTGTAAGACATTTTTCCCTGGCTTTTGTCTTGAGTAGTTTGCGAGTTTTTTAATAAATGTGGAGAAATCTAAAAAGAGTTTAGGAGCTGTATCTAAAATTTTTGGATCTTCAATTTTCTGATTTTTTTCAAATTTTCTTTGATAGTAGCTAAAACCTCAATAGCTGTTAACGTGACTATATTGGCAAAAATTACAAGCTTTTTTTTTTAGGTTTTTAGGTTCAAAATTTAATGCTATGGTTTACTTCGCGTTTACAGCAACGTTGGATCATATAACATGCATACTGTGTGTGCCCCATAATCTTGAAACCTGTAGCATTGAATCGGTCTTTCGTAGGACGAATATTTTTCAGTAATTACATTAACACTGAACATTAATTTTTAAAGGAAATATTGATCTACTTTCTGAATTTGTGTTTAATCCAAGGGAAAAAAATGGAAGTTTAATTTCTTTTTTTCATAAATTGTTTAACGTTGATTTTAGAGTAATTTCCCCTTTCTAGATCGTTGTAAATGGATTCTTTGCTTACTAAATTGGAAGTTTCTTCAAAATTACTCTGACATTTGTGTCACCATTTAGCTGATGAAGGAGATATTGTTTTCTTTCGTATAATTTCTTAGAACATATATTCTTGTTTTGAGCATCACTATCGGTGTGGAAAACACCCCGCATTCTACTTACAACTTATTACACGTTAAGACAATAGATAATACTGCTAAGCACTAAGAAACGATCACGTTACCATAAACTAGAACATTTTAATTTTTTTTTAAATTTACGTACAGGTATATTGATGACCTATTTTGACCTAGGTACCTAAAATTATTTTGCGATATTGCTGTTGAATTGAATTTTATGGTTTAAGTGCGAAGAACATGATATTTAATAATTAAGAGTAACGCACAAAATGTTAAAATAAACGCCTCTTTGGGTGTAATGTAAAATCTGAAAACTTTCAGATTTTTTATTTTTAGTTCAAAGGGGCAATTTGCCCTGAAGGACTGACTATTAATTTCGTTTTGGCATTTCCCGTTGAACACTATAAACGGTGAATCACTTTTAAATTGTTTCCACCAAATATTATCGCCCTCTATTATATTTAAAGAAATCAAATAATGAAGAATCTGAATGAATGCATGCATGTTTCTCGCATTGTGATAAAACAACGGTATCTAGAGTCCTCAAAATTTGAAAAACGTAATCTCCCATAGAATATGGGCATGTGGAAGCCCTAATTTGAATTAAAAATTTGTTTTATTATCGATTTCATATTTTGTAACACTTCAACGAATTTTCGATTAAAAAAATCTAAAGGATTTCAAAGCGAGCCGTGGCAACACTGTACGAAAAAAAACATTTTTATCTCGAGCGTGCGAGACTCTGTATCGGAAATTCTAAGGATATGTTCATTTTAAAATTATTTTGCAATATTGCTATTGAAAGGAATTTTATAGTTTGAGTAAGTAGAACATAATATTTAATAAATAAATGTAGCACACAAAACGCCTATTTGGAAGTAATTTACAATCTGAAAGCTTTCATTTTTTTATCTTTTTTTTAATTTAATTTTTCTATTAGCCCAAATGGCGTTAGTCCCGAAGGGCTATTAATTTCGTTTTGGCATTTTGCGTTGAAAACTTTAAATGTCGGTACAGTTCTCAAACTGTTGCCACTAAATATTACAGCCCTGTATTATATTTAAAGAAATTTAATAAAGGAGAATCTGCATAAATGTATGTATGTGTTCTTGCATTGTGATAAAATGACGGTAGCTAGACCTATCAAATTTTGAATAACGTACGTTTCCACCTGAATATAGGCATCTGGAAGCTCAAATTTGTGATCTGGAATTTTTTTATTATCTATTTCATATTTTGTAACACTTTAAAGAATATTTGAATAGAAAACTTAAAGATTTCAAAGTGAGCAATGGCAACACTGTACGAAAAAAGAAACATTTTTATCCCCAGCGCGCAAGACTGTGTATCGGAAATTCTAAAGGTATGCTTATTTTTAAATTATTTTGCGATATTCTGTTGAACTGAATTTTATGGCTTAAGTGCGATAAACATGATATATAATAAATAAAGGTAATCCACAAAATGTTAAAAAAACGCGCCTTTGGGGCGTAATGTTAAATCTGAAAGTTTTCAGAATTTTTAAAAATTATTATTATTATTATTTTGCTTTTGATCAAAGGGCCAATTTGCCCTAAAAGAACTAATTTCATTTTGCCATTTTGTGGTGATTCACTATAAACTGTGAATCACTCTTTAAATTGTTGACACCGAATATTAGAGCCCTATATTAAAGATATCAAATAATGAAGAATTAGCATAAATGTTTCTCGCATTGCGGTAAAACAATGGTAACTAGAGCCATCAAATTTTGATTAACGTACGTCTCCATCCCATTATGGGCAACTGGAAGCAATTAAAGAAATTTGGAATTTGTTTTATTATCTATTTCATATTTTATAAATCACTTATGAGTTTTTGATTAAGAAACTCAACGATTTGAAAGCAAGCAATGGCAACACTGTACCGGGAAGGATTATCTCCAGCGCGCGAAACAGTGTATAGGATATTCTAAAGATATGCTCTTTTAAATATTTTCTATTTTATATTTTGTAAAACTTTAACAAATTTTTGATTAACAAACTCAACGATTTCAAAGCGAGCAATGGCAACACAGTGCGAAAAAATCTGATGTGTACACCACATGACTTCCTTGTACGGAATATTAAATTATACGCATTTTTTCTTGCATTTAATTTAAACTTATTGGATTGAATTAAATTTACTTCGCCGACAGCGCATAAACCACAATAGAATAAATGAATTCTTTAAAATTCACTCTACTATTTGTTTACCATAGCGAA